AGAGCCACCGATACATATGTCATGGTCCTGAAGACGTTCAAAACTGCCAAAAAATTCGGTCAGCAGGAGTTCGAGTTGCCAAAAAGGCTCTCGCACTACATCGAGCGCTCGATCGAGCTAGTTCCAAGAGCATACTTTGTGACATTGCTGAGCGACCTCGGCCAGCCCATGAATGACAACTATTGGACGCAATTCATTCGAGAGATTCCCTTTTCAAAGGGCCGCCATCTCACGACCAATCACTTGAGGCACGTATTCGTGACCGACCGCTACGATAAGGACGCCTCTCTTTCAGATAGACAGTCCGTTGCCGGTCGCATGTTACACAGCGTCTCGACTCAGATGCGTAGCTATGAGAGAAAACGCAGCTAAGCAACCTCGATCGACCCGTCGCTCACAAACCTCATTATATTGTCTCCTCCCTCCTTCTTGTCAAAGGTTGGAGGAGTTGTGATGGCAAACCCCGCCTCCAGCAATCTCTCGAGAGTGCGTTTCTGCGTCCTACCTCCAGTCTGATACCTCTCATATGCTTGTGCTAGAAGTATTAAGTCCTTGTTTCGTGCGTAGTAGCGTCTACCGGATCGTTTGTGGGCTTCAGGATCGCGGAAGTAGTTCCTTCTGGCTGTCAGGCAGTGCCTGCACTCGCAAGTGAAGATCTCGTTGTCGTAAGTATCTTTTAAAGGTTGGTCTGCGGTCGAAGACGACATCACTAATCTGCAGCTAGAAAATATTTCTCAGACATCGCCCGCGCCGCGTTTATTCCTCGTGAAAATTTCCTTCCTCCATTGGAGAGAGAACTTCAGCATGCAAGCCGCCAACATCCCTTGCTCTCTCGAGCACACCATTGACGCCCCTGCAATCGAGGCCCCAGAGGCTTTGCCCCTGAGGGAGGAGGATGCTGCGACCCACGGCGCCCCTGACGTCAGGCCGGCGCCGTCCAACGTTTTGAGCATCAAGGATGAGATATTGCGCCTCGCTGACCACGGACTGTATGGAATCCCTGTGCACATCAAGATCAATGCTCGAGGCAAGAAGCAGAGCCGGTTTCCTTCCACCTACGCGCACATCGTCACTGTGGGCAATTGGGAGGAGCACATCGGCGCAGTGCTCGATGCATTTGAAAACCCCAACGGAGTGGCCATACTGACCGGCACGAGTGGCCTATTCGTCATCGATATCGACGTGGGAGAGAGCAGCAATAAGAAGTCGGGGATGGAATTCTGGCACGGGCAAGTGATGGAGTATGGGGAGCCTGAGACTCTCTCCGTTCGCACGGGCTCTGGAGGCCTCCACTACTACTTTCGGCTCGATAAAACCACCGGCTTGCACGAAACTACCAATTTTGCTGGACTCACGCTCGATGGGCAAAAGTTCGGCGTCGACGGGCGCGGCACCGGAGGGGTGATTTTTGCACCCCCGAGCAGGTACGGAGAAGGCAAGGATACACACCGCGAGTACACGTGGGTGGCCGGAGGTGATGGTACGGTTAAGGGTATGGCCCCGTGGCTCGTGAGCCTGATCAACCGAGGGCGCGCCTTTGAAGGGTTCTCGAGAAATGCAAATGGCCAAGTGCCTCACCGTGATGAAGCCGATTCCGAGGAGATCGTGCCAGAGGCCGTCGACGACGCAGAGGTTGGCGGTTCTTTGGCCAAGGCGGCTCCGGGCTTGGCGCACAAGGAAGTGAAGCAATTGGTGAGGGAGAAGGCGAAGGATTGCTGTTCCTTCTATACCGGCTCGACCATCCTACCGGACGGCAACAGATCGTTTCAGTTCAGGGTCAAGGGGTCGCGACAATGCTACCTGGGAAAAACGCATAGAGGGTCCAACAACTTCACGGTGATTCAAGGGTGCACCGGTGACTTTCAAGAGCTCTACTACAACTGCTTCGGGTCCCATTGCTGTGGCAGCAAGCCGAAGCTGCTGGGGCGTCTCACGATAGCCGGTGCTCTCGAGCAAGCTGGGGGTGGTGCTTTTGGACCCAAGGATCAGCAGCCGTCGAGCCTCACTAAGCTGGCCGCTAGGTTCTCCGACCCGTTCATGCTGTCAAACGTGAGTAAGAGCGATATTGGTAGTGCTTTGATATTCAGCAAACTGTTCGAGCATGACAGGCGGGTCGTGTATGACTCAGGGAGATTCTGGACGTGGGATGCGACGAGTTGGGTGCCGTCCGATACGGAAGCAGCTCTGCTGAAGACCTCGTTTATGTACCACATGGGACGAGTCAAATCGTTTTGGTGCGATCGGCTGGAATGTGCTGTTGCCGAAAAGGTTCGGCCGTTGACGACTCGCAGAGACAATGCTCTGAACGAACTGCAGTCCCAGGCCTCGGAGAGTGCGGACAAGAGCGAGAAGGGTGTCTTGAAGGGCATTCAAAAGGCGGAGAAGGCTATCATGGCAGACTTCGACATGGAGATGAAGAAGATACCCGAACCGGTGTGGCGTGGGGCAGCGGTCGAGTCTGTTCCCATCGCTCAAAGGTGTCTCATTCCTTTGAAAGTGAATCTACGAGTGCGGGA